CACGGAACGACTACCATATTTTCTGATCACACCCAGGACTGCACCATTGTTCGTGGTGAATGATGTATAACTTCCTTTGGTAAGCGTTGGCTCGTTTTGGTGCATGTAGGCTAAGAGTTCGTAGATTTTATAGTGTGATTCATCACTATTCATCTCTTTCTCCAAGTTCAAGTCTTTATAATTTGAATTCACCGGAAGCCACGTCGAATTCGCCGTACTAAAACCTGCCGTAACGAATAATTAATTGATTCCGATTAAGAAATACATTATTAATAATTTGGACAGTGTAAATCACAAGATAAAGATAAAGATTCTTCTACCTGCATTCTTCTTAGCGTTCCATTGAAATGGTGTTCGTTCTGGATCGCGAGATACAGCTGCATAATGCTCTTTGCCCGCGTTGCGCGCCTCGATCTTGTGTTTGTGGATAGGGTATATCGTTATTGTCTACCTTGCCGATTTCATCGTCGTAATAAGTCACTGCCATGCCCGGCAAAATCATTGACAACATGGTCATTTGATCCAATCTGCCGGGAAAACGCGATGCTACGCGTGGATTGTCATGATTTCCCAACTAAGAAAATATATGTTTATGTTACATTACAATTTCATTTTTAATTGAAAAAAATTAAATTTTCTATTTTCAAATACACAATGGCGAAAAAATGTTTAAAATGCCGTTCTATTCGTCACAATTATTTTTATAAATAAGATCAATGTAATTAGAATTCGAGAAATAAACATTTTGATAAAAATCTTTTAAATAATATAAAAATACAAAATATACGATATTTAAAACAAATATTTAAAAAAAACTAAGCCTTTGTAACTTATTTATATATAAATTATTGGGAACTTATTTTATATGTATAGTAAATAACAGAGCAGAAATTCTTATTTGCACAACTTGGATTTTTCTTATAAAAGTTTTTAAAATATATGTGATAAAAATGTATAATAAAAATTTACAAAATTTCTATGATTGTAGATAATACACAATGGCGAAAAAATGTTTAAAAATGCCGTTCTATTCGTCACAATTATTTTATAAATAAATCAATGTAATTAGAATTCGAGAAATAAACATTTTGATAAAAATTTTTAAATAATATAAAAATACAAAATATACGATATTTAAAACAAATATTTAAAAAAAACTAAGCCTTTGTAACTTATTTATATATAAATTATTGGGAACTTATTTTATATGTATAGTAAATAACAGAGCAGAAATTCTTATTTGCACAACTTGGATTTTTCTTATAAAAGTTTTTAAAATATATGTGATAAAAATGTATAACTATAATAAATTTAGACAAAAATTTCTCATGATTGTAGATTTAATAAATTCTGCTGTTTTCTTAAAAAAACTATTTTTAATGGAATAAAATATTTGTCTTCAAAATTATATAATGATGTATACATAATATTCAGTACAAGTAAGAATTATAAAACATTTTCTTTTGCATTGTAATTAGAGTAGAACAATATAGAATCTGCTAAATTTTAAAAATAAAAAATGAAATCTTTTCATTATAACTTTATGTAAATACATACGATCCAATTGGCGACTTTATCACTCGACATTGAGTTTATCCAGAGGTCAATTTCTTCTTTGAAATCTTTTGCAGATGAATTAGCAGTCACATTTTTAATGAATCCGAAATTGTAAGGCGACACATCATATTTATAATATTCTATGATATGTGGAAATTCGGTATACGCCTCTATCATCAGTACCTAGAGAAATTAGAAAGAGCATATTTTCTAAATCAATAAGCACAAACATATAGATTTGAAAAAATAATATTGCTTTACTGACCTTTTGATCTTTGTTAAATTGATCAGCATATTGATCAATATATTTTTGCCACATTTCATATAACTCGTAAGTAGGTTCTTGATTAACGGTATAAATGTAATTCAAATAATTATAATTTTCCGGTGTGGTATCAGGCGCATAATTTCTAGGCTCATCACGCAATTCTTTATCCTCAAAAATATACGGGGCAAAATATACGCTGAATCCGTCTAGTCCCGCATCCCACCAGAATTTCAATGCATTCTATAAAAATTCGAAAAAAATCATTAAAAGTTGTAAGAAGAAGCTTAAAGTGCTGTAATATGTAAGTGTTACGTCCAGGCCCGAGGAAGGATGGGCCGAAGGAAGGGCGTAACACTTGTATCCCGAGAACAGGTGCCTTAAGGGCAAGTGTCTCGGGTTGAGCGAGCCTGCGGGAGAGCCAAAGATAGGTCAACGACCACAAGAGTCGATTTTACTCTATTTTTGGTCCGAATGGCCGCTCGACGGTCCCCTTTTTGGTAAAGGAACTTAATCCCTTTTACCCGGGACGGGACCTAGTGCGATTCGGGAGCGTGGGTGATGAGGAGGGAATTGATTAAGTTGGATTTAAAAGAAATAAAATTAATTAGATTTATTGTACATTATAAAAAGATAAAACTTACATAAACATTTTAATTACGGCTCTAGTACAATATTAAGTGTGATTGTTTGTATGTGTGTGGATGCATTAAGTGTGATTGTGTGTATGTGTGGGTGTATGGGAAACTTCGTGTTTATATCGTTTAGATTTAGAGTGAAAGAGGGGTCGGCGACAGCCCGAGCCAGTAGTCGGCGGGTACGACGATTGTGTCGGTATCGGAGGCGCTTTGCGTGAATTCTAGCGGATCTCCTCGAAGGTTCCACTAGGGAAGCGAATAGTATCAATAAAGGAAGATGGGGGAAGAGGAACTTAATAAATAAAAAAAATATAAGACTTATTATTTGAAAAAAAGCGTGGACAAATCGATACGAATTATTGTTGGACCTCCTTGGCGTTGAGGATGGCGAGATATTAACTGAATTGATAGTTGTTGAAGAGGGTGGTTGCTGCTGGGTCCCCTTGGTATAGGTTTTTGCACTGATTCGATAAGCAAATATATAACCGAGCAACTACGTAAATATGTAACTGAGCAAATAGGTGAACTAGCAACCGCAGAAAGAATGAATGTATGTCTGACTGACTGTGTTTTTTTGAGCTTTGAGCGTCGATTTGTCCAAAGTTCGCGCTTATATATCGTTTTGGATTACCCTCTCCCAGCGTGAGGAATAAGGGAAGTTAACGAATAGAAACCCTCGTTAGATTTCCGTGGTCTCCTTCCTGTCCCTACTTATGAACATTTTAAAACAAATGCAACAAATCAGAATTTAATTACATTTGTCCGCGAATAGGAGAGCATCTTCCAAAACGGGGGACTTAGAATTCTCAGTATCGGAAGTGGTGATAATTTATGCTTTGTAAGATGCATCTGTTGGAGATAAGGGGATGACTTTTACTACCCCCTTGAGATAAAGCGGGTGCGTGTCGCGACATCCGCTCACTCGCGTTTTGTAAATAGTTTTCTTTATTTTCTGTAGCTTGTTTGAATTTTGTGAGTTTTTTTTAGTGATCAGAAAATATCAAATTCGTCTAACTGATTGCCGCCTTATTTAGCCAGATGCTACTTTTATCAGTCCGTGAATATCTGATTGTTATTCTGGAGTATTTACTGAGAATCCTACTTCAATTTAACTATCATTAACGATTTTCGGAAGTCGTGCACCAGATAAGGGAAAGAAAAGAATCGTGAGCTCCTCTGGACGTAACATAAGATATTTTATATGTTTTTCCTTATATATCTTTTTAGATAGAAAACTTTGTTCTTTTCACATCAATTTATATTTCGAAGTAAGAAGTATATAGTATTATTATACTATATTTATATATATAGTATTTCGGGTAGTAAGAAAAATACAGTATACAATATATTAAAATAATTTTTTTCAACAACTTTAGTTTCTCGGCCTCGCAATTATTTCAAAATTGCGATGAGATAGAGTATTTTAAAAGCTAACATTATATGTCTTTAACATAGAAAAGTAGAGAATTATTTTGCAATAGCAATCGGAAATGATTCAATGCATAAGAAAATTTTATTCGCAGATTAAATTTGTGTATGTAAATGGAAGCATTTCGAAAATATGTTTTAAAACATTTAATCAGAGCATAAAGATAACGCTAGTTTCATTCGTATACTATTCTGAGTGATGACTTCCGCATTTTTAACATCGCCAGATAAAACACGGAAACGGACACACACATAAAGTCGCGTTGTTTTTTGTATTAATTATATATAAAATTATATATAAAATTATATTTTAATTCTGTAAATAAATTTAAATTTTTAGAATAAATATTTATATTAATTGCATTTCGGCCCTTTCCCATAAAAGAAATTAAATACTTTTTAGTAAAAAAGGATCAAATAAACATTCGAACAAAACAATTATCCTAAACGACTGTTTTCAATTATAACTGTTTATACAATAGTTTGTTCAAATAAAGTCACCCACCACTTATCACGTGACTTCGAGAAACAAATGTTACACCAATCTCTTTCCATTCTTTCTCAATCTGGACATAACAGGCTGATGAACGCATAATCGCCGGAAAATACGTCTTGAAAAATTTTTATGAAAACAAATTACATAAGATTATATTTTCATTAATCAATCATAAAAAATGATAAATGTAATCAGCAAAATAATATAATATTTTTAAAATAATATAATATTTTAAAAACACGATTTTAAAAGATTTTGTATATGATTTAAATATTTAATTAAAAATGTTAATATATTTTATATATTTAAAATAAACTAAAGATTTAATAAAATTAAATATTAACATGTAATTAAATGGATATAATAATACGTAATTTTAAATTTTTGAAGAAATAATATAACAAAATTCAATAATATATAAATTGGAGATTATAATGTTTATAGATATTATGTTAATATTAATACCATATTAATATTATATTAATTTTATGTTAACAATATATTACATGTAACATAAATTTAAAATTATGGACGTTTAAATCATACATGTTACTAATTTGTAAGGATGCCTTTTAAAAAGTCACAATTAAATAAAGTATTATTTATTATTTTATATTGCAGGAAATATTATAATTTATAAATATAAACATAATCGAGAAAGTGTCTGCTCCATATGTACTGCGAAAGCAGCATTTTTAGTGAATATTTTAAGACGTGTACACTACGGCGGCTTTCTTAGGTACATGTATCTTCTTTATGTCAACCCTGTAAAAGGTATATTTATAATAGTATAATTGTGTGCATACAGTGCATATGTTTTTTTTTAAATCTAGAGAAGGTATTTTTATCAAGTATGCATATAATTATATATTTAGTAATATATGTTTTAAATAAAAAATATATCTATAAGAAAATATATATCTAAAATAAGAAAAAATTGCAATTAATTTAAAAAAATTTGTTATCAATTATCTATTACATTTACAAATATACAATTATTTTTATGTAAAAAATGTTTTTAATTACAAATTTGACTATAGAACACATTTGTTAATAAAACTACAAGTAATGTTGGATTTTCTAAGAAAATCATTTTCGTTGTCGAATAAAAAAAAAATGTTTTACTATTATAATTATTTCATAACATTTATAGTTATAAGTATGTTTATATAAACAAATTTGAAAAAGTATTTAAAAAAACCGTACCGCTTTTTTGCAGAAGAACGAGAACCCACGCTAGCAACCTTGAGTTTCATTCTTACTGGAATATCATAATCTGACAAATCAACCTCTTGAGAAATGTCCTTGCGATTACTCAAAAGTACCACGGAACGAGTATCATATTTTCTGATCACACCGAAGACAGTATCATTGTTCGCCGTGAAAGTTGTACAGCTACCTTTAGTAAGTGCTGACTCATTTCGGTGCATATGAGCTAAGATTTTGTAGACTTTATAATATGATTCATTACTAATCATCTCTTTCTCCAAGTTCACCTTTTTATAGTTTGGATTCACCGGTAGCCACGTCGAATTCGCCGTACTAAAACCTGCCATAAAGAATAATTAATTGATTCAGATTTAGAAATTCATTGTTAATAAATTGGACACTGTAAATTGCAAAAATTCGTCTTCTACCTGCGTTTTTCTTTGCATTCCATTGAAATGGGGTCCGTGCTGAATTGAAAGATATAGCCGCGTCATGCACTTTGCACGCGTTGCGCGCTTCGGAATCATGTGTATCCTCGCAAGATATATCCGTGTAGTCCACCATGCCGATTTCATCGCCATAATAAGTCACTGTCATGCCCGGCAGAATCATAGACGTCATAATCATTTTATCAAATCTTTCGGTAAAACGCGAGGCTAAGCGTGGATTGTGATCATTTCCCAACTAAAAATATATAGTTCATACATTTCAACTCTATTTATAATTGAAAGAAAAGTAAAGTTTCTCCTTTTATATAATATGATGATGATAAAAAAAATGATAATGCTGTTCTATTTGTCACAATTATTTTTATAATTAAAATCAATGTAACTCATGAATGTAAAATATGAGAATTAAATATTTTGGTGAAAATTATTTATCAAAAATACAAAGTATGTGAGATTATTTTAAAAAATATTAAACCTTTGTATCTTTCATTTATACATAAATTACTGAGAATCCATTTTACATGTAGAGAAAATACTGAATAATAGGAACAAGTTGAACAACTTGGATTTTTTTTAGGAAAGTTTTTAAGGATGTTTTGTATGTACAATCCCAGCAAAAAGTAGCTGAAATATTGAATATCTACTTTTGGTGTATTATGAGAAATTATGTGAAATATTACAATTTAATCTTAGCTATAGTGCAGAGATGTATTTTCTAATATTTATTGCGTTTTTACTGAAATAATCCGAATTTTGTTAATCGAAATGATTAACTATTGACAGAGAATTTCACATTGTGACAGATACATGGCTAACCTCATTAAATTATATTTAATATCTTTTTAACCAGTTAGTACTTATATAATATTATTTGACCAAATATTTCTTTTGTATCTAAACTTTTGCAAATTTTAAACAAATTCTGAATATTATTTTCATGTGTTTTTGTTATTTGAATCGACGTGGTTATACGTTTCCCATAACACATATTAATTTGTGCAAATTAAAATATAACTTATCCTTATAACTTGTGAACGCTTTAGCGAATCGATTTAAAAATTGTACTGAAGATTCTAAACATATGTAAGAACATTCTGTACAATTTTCATTAAATTCTCAATATTTTGAAAATAGGTACAAAACATCCTTAAAAATGTGTGCAATAAAAATTTATCACTATTAAAAATGTGTGCAATAAAAATTTCTCATGAAAGTATATCTAGTAAATTCCGCTGTTTTTTAAAACTATTTTGAATGGAATAACATATTTCTCTTCAAAATTATATAGTGCAACGCATACATAATATTCAGTACAAGTAAGAATTATAAAATGTTTTCCTTACATTGTAATTAAAGTAGGATAATAAAGAATCTGCTAAATTTTAAAAATAAGAAATAAAATCTTTTCATTATGATGACTTCGTGTGAATACGTACCATCCAATTGGCGACTTTACGACTCGGCATTGAGTTCATCCAGAGGTCGAGACTTTTTTTTATATATTCCAGAGACGATTTATTATTCACATTTTTAATTATCTCGAAATTCAAAGGCAACGTATCATACTTATAATATTCCATTGTATGTGCAAAATCGGTATAATCATTTATAATCAGCACCTAGAGAAATTAGAAAGAACATATTCTCTAAATCAATAAGTACATGATAGATTTGACAAAATAATATTGCTTTATTGACCTTTTCATCTTCATTAAATTGATCAGCATATTGATCCATGTACATTTTATAATTTCTGAATAGTTCGTAAGTAGGTTTTATATTAGCGGTGTAATTGTGTTCCAAATAATTGTAATCATTCTGTGTGACACCAAGAGCATAACTTCTAGGCTCATCTCGCAATTTTTTATCCTCAAAAATATATGGGACGGAAATTACGCTGAATCCGTCTACTCCTATATCCAACCAGAATTTCAGTGATTTCTATAACCGAAAAAAAAATCATTAAGATCTGTAATAATAGGCCTACAGTGCTGTAATGTGTAAGATATTTTATACGCTCTTATTTATATATTTTTCTAATTATAAAATTTTGTTTTTTCACATAAATTTATATTTCGAATGCAATTTGAGATTACAAATTTTCACTGAAACTATTGTATATATAAATTAGAAGCTATCTGAAGAAATTTATAATCTACGTTATATAAATTTAATTTTTAATCGATGCAAAAATACTATAACAAGATATTACACAATGAATTAATATGTAGACTATTAATGCTAATAAATAATGTTATAATTTATTTTATTTTTTGACACAGTTTGTTACATATGAAAGTTGATATTTCAAACAATAAGTTAAAAAATATACTAAACGTTTTGATTTAACAGAAATAATAAAAATTATCATTAGATTGTATACTAATAATACTGATAAGATTTATTAGGACATATATTAAGATTAATTAACGTAATTTATTGAAATTATAAATGCAACAGTTTCTTTATTAAATCATAAATAAAATTAATGTTAAACTGAACACATGTATATAAAGAGAGAGAGATTGAGAGAGAGAGAGAGAGAGAGAGAGGGAAAGAGAAAGTAACATTATAAAATAATTGTACTTTTTTTTGAAACTTACTTTCGTCTCCTTTATTACATCCGGATTTGAATAGTTCAAATCAGGCAGTCCAGGACCGTATTGATGAAGATACCATTGTTTTAGTGATTTGACATAAGTCCATGCGGGACCGCCAGATTTACTGATCCAATTATTAGGCGGAGCTTTGTTACCTTTTCCTTTACCTTTTGCCCACATATAATAATGCTTATATTTCTTATCGCCTTGAAGAGCCTTCAGGAACCATGGGTGCTTATCAGACGAATGATTAGGTACGATATCGAGAATCACCTATAAGGATACGCTAAAGTAATTACACACAAAAAAATACTACACATCGGTAAATTTTACAGACTGAGGACAATCATAACTTTGTACAATTAATTACGATCATAATATGAATAATAATATTATATCATATAAAAATCATGACATAGGCAAACCGCCGCACTTTTAGACTGAGATTATGAGCTTCCGCCACGAGAGCCTTGAAATCATCAATTGTACCAAAAATGGGATCGATTTCTATATAATTAGTTATGTCATATCCCAAATTAACATTAGGACTCGAATAGATGGACGATAAACTGATCGCGTTGATGCCAGTATCCTCGATGTAGGGTAACTTTAAAGTTATTCCTAATAACATCAGAGAACAAAATTTTTAATTTTGTCAATATATCTGCATTAGAATTACGTTACTTTGGAGCCTTAATATATTTATTACGTTTGCGGTATTTGTTTTCAATAATAAATGTATGCGCTCAGAAATTAACTAAATATAATTATACAATAACACAGAAAGTTTCTTGCAAAATTTTATGTTTGATTAATTACATAAAACAGAGTAGGTGTATCTAATATATTTTTTGACGAATCTATCCGCAGAATTTCTCAAACACGTCATATTTTTGAGTAATTTATAGTTAAATAATCCATAAATGGCAATTTCGTCAAATTTCATGAATTTATTATGAAAAAACTTAATGTTTTGAAATATTTCTGCCAGTGGGATCGTATAGTATTAACCTTTCAAATCCATTTTCTATTGCTGCCGCACGATTTTTTTTTCGCTAAGACCTACAAGTTATAAGACTGGTCATGCATAGTGGTCCAATAAGCCATTCTAAGTCAGCCGTGTTACTTCTCTGTCTTATCACGTATCAAAATTTTGGTAAAAACATAAATTTTTGAACGCCGCCTGTTATTTCTTTAAATTAAAAATGGTGCATCCAATATGACGGACGAAAATCATAATAAAAAGGTAAAATTTAGAAAAATTTAGAAAAATGTGTAACAACTGTATTAGATGTATCTTTAGAATAGAAAACTTTTTTGGGCAACTGAACCTATGATATATATAAGCTTTTTCAAATTTCAAAATGATGGATCAGCCATATTGACGTCTATGTAAATTTTCTTTAACGTAAATTTTCTTATAACTCCATACTTTGTATATTTTAACGAAAAAAAATCGTGCAGCGACAATCAAATATTTGAAAGATGAAGACTAGTACTATACGATGCCAATGGCAGAAACATTCCAAAAATTTAAGTTCTTCCTTAATAAATTCATGAAATTTGCCGAAATTGCCATTTTTGGAGTATTTAACTATAAATTACTCGACAATCTGACGTGTTAGGAAAATTCTGCGGCCAGATTAGTTACTGGCATTAAAAAATATATGTGTGTCAGATTCACTTACTCTGCTTTTTGTAACTGACCCTTGCAGATTTGTGTGAATGTGTAATTAATATTAATTGTGTAATTAATCCAATAAAATTAAAACATATATGTGAATGTAATAATATTTTATTCTTTGCGTTCTTATTTTTTTGTTTAATTTATTTATTCGTTTTTTCTTGTCTTATATGATACAATTAACAAATAACGATTAATATACCTTTCAGATCGCCTATGCCATCACCATTGGAATCATAGAAACTCTGCGGAAAAATACGATAGAGGATAGTGTTGTTCCACCATGACTTATTGAAAATTTCGGCAGATGAACTGCTGATCAGCAGCAAAAACGTGCACAAACATATTGTAAGCGACATGATGCTGTTTGTACTTGTTGAATCTGAAAATTGTTTATATATACTTTAATGACTAAGGAAATCAGTTACTTCTTTATCAATCGTGCTTATAAATACAATATCTTACGCTCGAAAAACCCAAATAAATGACATAGAACAAATGGCTTATTTACTACAGCTATGTGTCTTAGTCATCAATCAATCACTGCTAGAGATAACAAGTTTCATTCATATATCGTAGAATTATTGACACAATATCTACAGGGCGTCTCAAAAGGCAAGAACCCTTAAAAATTTCGAGAAATATATATTTTATAGAAAAACGTTTTAGATAAAAATTGTAAAGTTTAAAACGATCTATTTACTGCTTGAATAATTGCCTACTTAAATAAAGCCATTTTATATAGTTCATTCAAGAAAAATATATTCTTATGATTTAAGATTTAATTTTCTTGAGTGGAAAAGAAACAATATTAGATAGAAAATAACATTTTTAAATCAAAGATTATAATTTTCTCAAAGTAGAATTTAATAATTATTCTTGAGGTGGACAATTACAATATTAAAATAAGATTGTAACATCGTTGAAATTTAAAATTATTAAATTCTTCTAAGAAGTTTATAAATTGTTGCGTATATACGAAACAATGAACGCGTTAGTTTAAGTATATAAATTTTGATTTAACACTTATTTCTTTTCTGTGCATTTTGCGATATTTGTTTCGAATCTTTTATAATAAGATGTTTAATCAACTAAAGCAAGATCGATGAATCCAACCAAGACTTTAGTTGTCTGGATTCATGACCGATCTTACCGTAGTCGGTTAGACATCTTACCATAAAAGATTCGATAACTTCAAAATGGATATCGCAAAGTGTATAATATTATAGCGCTTCGAAAAACTCTCAAGGTAAGTTATAAGAATATCTAATAAAAAATAAAAGCTTCCGTTTTAAATTCTATAACTTTCATTTGAAACATTTTTCTATAAAACTTATATTTCTCGACGTTTATAAAAAGTACGATTTTTTTGGAATACCTTATATATTACGACAGACTCTTTATCAATAACATTACCCATACAACATAGAACATTACCATAATTTACAATATTTTGTGTTGTATGAGTATAGTTTTAAATTAGATCTAAAAGTAACCCAAGGATTGCATTTATACATAACTTGGAAATGTTATTTATATACCGAATTATGTATATCGTGGTGATGATAATGTACGTGACAATATATTATAAATTATATCTACAAGAGATAAATTGCAAATTATTTTCTGCAAATAACAAACCAAACAAATTATTATCACCTGGTAATGAAAAAATGTACATAATAAATACTTGAGTAAGAAAAATGTAATATAGTGTAATACATATCATGTAGCATAATTATACAATACAGTAAAATATATTAAAATAATTTTTTTCAATAACTTTAGTTTGACAATCTCATAATTATTTCAAAATTGCGACGATAGAGTATTTTGGAAGCTAAAATTATATTTAACAGAAAAAGAAAAGTAGAAAAATATGTTTTCCTCAAAAAATATATTTTTGAACTGCATTATATATATATATATATATATATATATATATATATATATATATATAAAACTTATAATTAATAAAATATTGTAGAAGCAAGAGAACAGCAATTACTTTTATATGTAATAATTGTGCATTTAAGTTAATAAATAAATATTATAAATAGTTTCGATCTATATAATAATATAAAAAATATTTTTCGAACTATTGAAGAAAACATTGAAATATTACCTAGAAAAGAATAGAGATTGCATGAAAGTATACATGAATAAGAAATAGAAATTGAGAAATTTTTTTGGCACTTGAATTGGGAAAAATATCTTTAAAAATATCTTCAAAGTACAAAGCTTAATTATTTAGTAAAATAATGTATCCAAAAAAACCATTCGGCAAGAAAAAATCCATTAAAGATAAACCATACCCAGATTATTCTCATATTTGGATATTAAACATACTGTTAAGGTCAAACGCATCTCCTGAAGTAAAGCGGAATTAAGCGAAATGGCACAAGCGACAAGAAATAGAGATGCATGGGTCATCCAGTAGAAAATGAAAAAAACAGAGGATCCAAGAAGATTAAAAGTACAATTAATGTCACACAGCACGATATGTCACACAACAATATAATCTTGCATTGTTTCTGTTGAGGGAACAACAAAGGCCGCCTGGTAGCGTTAGGTAAATATTTAATAAAGAATAATTTAGCGTTATATCGTCAGAGAAGATAAGTTTTTCTTGGATTTTCCTTTTTCATTACAACTGACATGGATTTAGGATATTGATATCTTTAATTATGATTAATCTTGCTCAAAAAGATTCAATAGTTAAAAATGCAAAGATAGCGAATGATCACAATATCTATACGTATTTAAAAATTTATTTTAAATATGGCAGAGAAAAATCTAAGATTTTGTGTTCTTTTATTTTGTGAAATGACTGTTCTTTTTCTGAAATTTTGAATTATTTAAATTAGTAACATAAATATGTATTCAATATATTTAATCTATTAAAATAATCGTGTTTAATTATTGTTTGAAAATCATAAAGATGATACATTAGTAGTATATCCTGCATCTTTATTATTTTAATGGAATGGAGGATAAAGTGCGAAACAGATGTAAACGGGATCTGCTATCCGTCGATATGTATCATTCGAAAGAATGTCCTTAAATGCTTGTCAAAAAATGATACAGTTATTACGACGTACAACATGTTTCCGCAACATACACATCATTAAGTCGGGTTTCTATCTGCTCACTTAGAGACGTGCTTTACTGGGCTCGCAGGATAAGATCAAAATGGGAATAAGAAAAAAGGAATCTGTTTTTATCATTCTATTATAATGAAGAGTTGTGAAATTTAATAATATAAATAAAATATTTATCTAATAATAAATAAAATAATAATAGATAAACTAACATAAATAAAATTTAATTACAAATTTGGGCAAATATAATGAAAAATACTTATAATGAAACTTATATTTGATTTTTAAATATAATAAATTATAAAAACTCGATATAATCATTATTTTCTTCTAAACATAGAGCAATCCTGCTGAAAATATCTCTCACTTATTTTATCAGAAGAGTGATCTCTGTCCATGAATCTTATGCCTATGGATTTTTTTTATGTGAAACATCTTAAAAAATAAAATATATCACACTCTGCCGGAAAATGCAGAAATTCTTAAAAATAGAATTCATAACGCATGTGCGGAAATCACTTCTCTCATGATAAGTCGCGTGAATGAAAATTTCATGCGCATAGTTGCTTTATGTTTAGAAAAAGATGGTGGTTATATTGAACATTTATTGTAATTTATTACATTTAAAGATCAAAAATATTTGTCATTATAAGTATATTTTATTATATTCGTTTATTATATTTATTACTATATATGTTCAAATTTATTAAATTTACTTATTAAATTTACGTTATTAATATATGTTAATATATATTAAAATTTATTATTAAACATTACAATTAAATGTTATAATGTGTTATTAAACAAATTTGTCAATTTATTAGAATTGAATATTTTATATATACTACTATTATCTATATATTATTAAAAATATATTTCATATAAATATATAATATATATTATTAAATATATATTTTATCTGTATTGTTAAATTTCGCAATTATTTACTATAATAAAAAGATAAGATTTCCCTTTCTTTTCTCCCCGTTGAACACGTATTCAAATCTTATTCAGCAAGTCTAATAAAGTATGCCCCTGACGATGGGCATCTTGACTTAATGATGTGTATGGTGCCGAAACACAACTGTACAATATATTAAATCGAGAATATAAAACTAAATTTATATACATTATATAAGTTATGTGTTTATATGTTGAAGTCCAGGAATATCATTTATGAATATTAATGAATAAAAACCGATAAAGGTAAAAATATATAAACTTTAAATTTTATAAATGCGAATAATAGAAACCAATTTGAGTTCTAATCGCAATTTAAATTTTTTTGTAGATTAATTAAAAAAGAGTGATATTCAATATAACTCAAATAGTAAGAAATCATAAAAGTCAAGCATTATTAGCCATTTGCGAACTTAATTCAAATAAACGATGGACTCTTAGTGACACATATATATAAAATAAATCATTGAATTTTATACTCTTCATTAAAATTTGTCTAGTGCTCGCCATTTGATGATTTACTCATCTAAAAGAGATGTGAGTAAGCAACAAGAATATTATAAGCTATCAAAGATCCGTAATAATTATCAAATATTTAATACTTAGAAGAACTAAGCGAGAACTAATGGAAAAAGATGATTTAGAGAGCTTACCTAATAAATTTATTAAGAAGGTGAGATAATTGAATGCATATAAACAACTCGTATACAAAAAAAATTTAATTTATTTCCGTACTCTATTTACATAATTCTCAGCTCAATGAATAAAAAAGAAATATATGTTTCATTTGGCATAAAATATATTATATACCTATTTATTTTTCAAATTTAAATAAACTAGATATTGAATCCGAAGTAAAATAGTAATATTTATATAATCATTAAAAATGTATAAATGATCAAACAATACATTTTATTCATACAATTATTATCTATTTCTTGTTCTTCTATTTCAAGATAAAGAAACGCAATTTTCGAAAACTCAGAATAAATTATTAGCGATTTCGATGTAATAACGCACGAGATATTGTTGCTTTTACTACGATTACATCAATTGTGTTGTCAGTCGGCAATAATTCACGCATACGATGTTCACAATGATGTGAAACATAGTGGAATAATGAATGCGAATTCTGATTTATTGTCACGAGTGAGTTATATTAACATATCGTTTAAGGAAGAGGAAGATGTTGATATTGACAGGAGAATAACTGAAATATACTAATCGCTGAAAACCATTATTTCTTAATAATCACATTTCCAAAGTGAGAGACAGTAATTTACAAGAAGTCGTTATATAAACTATAAAAAGTCTCACAAAATTATTTACGTACATATTATTTACAATTAATATAATATATAATTCAGATGGGATTGTGCTTAATATAATTAAAGGAATTTTATAAAAGAATAAACAAAGAGAATAAATTTATTATTGTTTCTCAATGAACTGTTCTGATAAACGTTATAGCATCGCAACTGTCTTCAATAAAGGATGCCACATTTAACAAATTTAAAAGTAAGTGTCGACTTTAAAGATCATAAAGTATGTTACAGTTACAGATGATAAAAACTATTATTTAAGCATGTTTTTTTATTGTATTTTATTATAGAAATAAATTCATGTATCCTTATTTTTTTGCTTCAAAATATAATAGATATCGTTACCAGTCCAAATACCGACCTAAGAATCTTGCAGCTCTCATTTACTACTAGTAGAGTAGGATGAACTTAGTAGTTGATAATCATTTATTATTATTTGACATTCATTGGAATGAATAGTTGGAGACACAAGATCAAGATAGGATTTATCGCTTTAGTCAGAAAATAATGTCTATATTTATAATGTCTATATTTATAAGTAGTATACATCACATATAATTTTCTCACGTGCACTGTTTTCTTTAATGTTGAACATTTTTCTTTCCAGACTTATTTGTTGATACAATGGAGGAACTTTGTAAGAGCTTTGTAAGAGCGAAAACTCGAGATAGGAAGCAATGTGCTGAGTAGCAACAAAAATAATGCTGCTATCATTCTCATTGATCTTAAATGTCACTGTTCAATTTTTAGTTTATTTCATTATATATATATATATATATATATATATATATATGTATATGTATATGTATATGTATACAAACATAATATGATGATAGTTATATAATTTATAGCTCTCATATATCGATATTTAATTTCATAAATGAGATAATTCTTCATAATATTAGATTAATATTCTATGGATAATGTTTTTTCTTATTTTATTGTATTAATGTAATATTTTGGAATGGTTTTAAAAAATATTGTATATAATTTCATTATTTAAATAACAATGTTAACATATTCTATATTTCTATATTTAACATATATATTAACAATTCAATAAAATTAAATATTAACATATAATTAAATGCGTATAATAATATATAATTTTAAATTCTGGAAGAAATAATGTAGCAAAATAATTAATATTATATATAATTAATAACATTATATTAATATTATTAATATTAATATAAAATTATATTAATATTATTAATATTAATATTATGTATATATATTAATATTAATATTAAAATTATATTAATATTATTAATATTATGTTAATAATATTACATATAACATAAATTTAAAGTTATGGATGTTTAAATTATATAGGGTGTCCCAAAACTCATAATCAATCTTTCAAAAACAGATTTCTGGGATCATTTACAGACGATTTTTCCTCAGCGAAAATGTCGATGAAGGCTATCATTTTTTGCATGTTCCCAATTTTTGTCATCATATATCTTTGCAATTAAGCCTTAAATTAAAAGCATCAACTAAAGTAAACTCTATTTAAAATTAATCGAAGAATGTGGTTTTGATAATATTTTATTTCTACAAAGCTTAGTTTACGAAAAACCCCTTATTTCCAATCACTTATAATTCGAAAATTATTAGTGCCTCGACATTTTCTTTGAGGAAAAGTCGTCTTCAGATTATCCCAGGAATCTGTTTTTGAAAGATTGATTACGTGTTTTGGGACACCCTGTATATGTTACAATTATCTAAGGATATCTTTTAAAAAGTCACAATTAAATAAAGTATTCTTTATTATTTTTCATTGCAGGAAATATTGTAATTTACAAGTGCATAATCGAGAAAGTGTCTACTCAAATATGTACAAAGGTAATATTTTCATTGAATGTTTAAAGACGTGTACACAGCAGCGGCTTTCCTGGGTAAATATATATTTTTTATGTCAACCCTGCAAAGATATATGAAAATGAATCACATATCTGCACACAGTATATGTCATTATCATATAATATTTATGAAGTTTACATAAAGTATGTCTATTTTTGAAAAATTAAGAAATGTCTTTTTTATGAATTATGTAATTATATATGTAATAACATATGTTTCAAATAAAAAATATATCTATAATTAAAATAGTTGCAATTAATTACAAATTTGTTATCAAACATATTTAAAAACGTACAATTATTTTTCGAGTAAAAATTGTTTTTAACTATTAAAATTTGATTAAGAAACACACTTAATAAAATGATAATGTTAATAAAGTGATTTTAGATGTTACTAAAATAACATTTTCTTTGTCGAATAAAAAGTTTTACTATTATGATTATTTAATAACACTTATAAGCATGTGTATGAACAAATTTAAAAAAGTATTTAAAAAGCCTTACTGTTGTTTTAGAGAAGAATGAGATTCCGAAGAAGCAACCTTGAGTTTCATTGTTTCCGGAAGATCATGATTTGACAAATCAACGTTTTGAGATATGTCATCCTTGTAGTTAATCAGAAGCAGCACGTAACGGTCACCGCTGTTTCTAATTACACCGAGGACATCATCGTTTGAGATGAACGATGTATAACTTCCTTCGGTAAGTGCTAGTTCCTTTCCGTGCAAATGAGCCAAATCTTTGTAGATGTGATAGTGCGAATTCTTAATACCCATCTTATTCTCCAAGTTTAGCTCTTTATAATTTAGATTCACCGGAAGCCACGTCGAATTCGCCATACTAAAACCTGCCATAATGAATAATTAATTGAGTCAGATTTAGATATATATTGTTAATAAATTAAACATCGTAAATCGCAAAAATTCGTCTCTACCTGCGTTTCTTGTCGCATTCCATTGAAATGGAGTCTGTTCTGGAGTGCGAGACATCGCGTTGCAGGTTTCGGGATCTTCTGTATCCTTACAGGATGTACCCTTTTCATCCACCATACCGATTTCATCGCCATAATAAGTCACTGCTATACCCGGCAAAATCATGGACAACATAGTCATTTGATCCAATCTTCCGGGGAAACGCGATGCTACGCGTGGATAGTCAGGATTTCCTAACTAAAAATATATAATTCATATTACATTTCAACCACATTTATTTTTAATTGAAAAAAAAAACAATTATTATTACACATTTATTATTAATTGAAAAAAAATTAATTTTCTCTTTTTTATATAACATAATGATAACAAAAAATCTGACATGATATTTTATTTGTCACAATTATTTTTATAATTAAAATCAAGGTAATTAAAATATTTAAATATTTTGAAAAAAATTTTTTATCAAAAATGCAAAGTATATTACATCATTTAAAAAAATACTAAAGCTTTGTGAAACTTTCACTGATACATAAATTATTGACAATTTGTTTTATATGTAGGGAAAATAATGAACGGTAGAAATATGCACAACTTGGATTTTTCTTAGAAAAGTTTCTAAAAATGTATGTGATAAAAATTTTCCACTTCGTAAATTTAGATCAAAATTTCTCATAATAATACGTCTAGTAAATTTCGCTATTTTCTTAAATTATTTTTGGAATAAAGTGAAATAAAATATTTGTCTTTAAAATTACATAATGCAACGTATTTGCAATATTTAATACAAGAAAGAATTATAAAGTGCTTTCTTTACATTGTAAATTAGAAAATATAGAATCTAGTAAATTAAGAAAAAAAGAAATGAATTTTCATTAAGATTATGATGACTTCGTGTGAATACGTACCACCCAATTGGCGATTGTACCACTCGGTAATGAATTTATGTAGTGGTCGATTTCTTCTTTGACATATTCCGCGGACGAATTAGCAGTTACATGTTTAATGATCTCGAAATTGGAAGGCAACAGATCATAGTTATAATATTCTATGATATGTGGAAAATCGGTATACGCCTCTATCATTAGTAACTAGAGAAATTAGAGAGAGCATATTTTCTAAATCAAATAAGTAAGTACAAAACATATAGATTTGAAAAAATAATATTGCTTTACTGACCTTTGGATCTTCATTAATTTCATCCGCATATTGATCAGTGTGTATTTTAATACTTTTTAAATACTCGTAAGTACGTTTTTGGTTAACGGTGTAAATGTGATCCAAATAATTGTAATCTTGCGGTGTGGCACCAGGCGCATAACTTCTAGGCTCATCTCGCAATTCTTTATCCTCGAAAATGTATGGGGCGGAAATTAGGTTGAATCCATCTATTCCCGTATCCAACCAGAATTCCCGTGTTTTCTATAACCGGTCAAAAAAAAAATCATTAAAAGCTGTATTAATAAGCCGAAAATGCTATAATGTGTAAAATGTTCTATACGCTTTTATTTATGTATTTTTCTAATTAAAAAACTTTGTTTTTTCACATAAATTTATATTTGGAATTCAATTTACGGTTATAAATTTTCACTGAAACTATTTTATATATAAATTAGAAGCTGCCTGAAGAAATTTATAATCTAGCTTAAATAATAAATTTTTAATCGATGCAAAAATATTATAACAAAAATAAATATTACACAATGAATTAATAGATAGACTATTAATGCTAATAAATAATGTTATAATGTTAAATAATGTGATTTATTTTATTTTTTGACATATTTATTACATATGTGAAAGTTGATATTTCGAGCAACGAGTTAAAGAATATATTAAACGTTTCAATTTAATAAAAATAATAATTAAGAAATATTAGATTGTGTATTAATAATACTGAAAAGATTTATTAACGTAATTTATTGAATATATAAACGCCATAGTTTCTTTATTAAGACACAAATAATGTAACTGAACCATTAGAAACATGTGTGTGTGTGTGTATAGAGAAAGAGAGAGAGAGAAAGAGGGAAAAAGAAAGTAACATTAACACTGAACTCTTTTCTATAACTTACTTGTAGCGCCTGCAATAGATCAGGATTCGAGTAGTTCAAATCAGGCATTCCAGGACCGTATTGATGAAGATACCATTGTTTTAGTGAATCGACATAAGTCCATGCGGAACCACCAGATATACTAATCCAATTATTAGGTGGAGTTTTGTTATCTTTATTTTTACCTTCTGCCCATATATAATATCCCTTATATTTCTCATCGCCTTGAAGAGCCTTTTGGAACCATAAGTACTTGTCAGACGAATAATTAAGTATGGCATCGAGAATCACCTATAAGGATACGCTAAAGTAATTACACACAAAGAAAATACTACACATCGATAAATTTCACAGACTGAAGACAATCAGTAACTCTGTACAATTAATTACGATTATAATTTGAACAATCAAATTATGTCACATATAAAAGTCATGACGTAGGCAAACCGTCGCACTTTTAAACCGAGTTTATGAGCTTCCGCCACGAGAGTCTTGAAATCATCCATTGTACCAACAATAGGATCGATTCCTGCATCATTAGTTATGTCATATTCCAAATCAACATTAAAGTCATTATATATGGACGATAAGCTGATCGCGTTGATGCCAGTATCCACGATGTAGGATAACTTTAAAGTTATTCCTAATAACATCAGAGAATAAAATTTTAAATTTTGTAAATATATCTACACTAAGCTTACGTTATTTTGAAGCTTTAATATTTTTCAATAATAAACGTATGCCAGAAGTTAACTAAATATAATTACCCTAATTAATCGAATAAAATTATAACATATATGTGAACGTAATAATACTTTATTCTTTGTATTCTTATCTTCTTATTTAATTTATTTATTCTTTTCTTCTTGTCTTATACGATACAATTAATAATTAAGTAACGATTAATATACCTTTTAAATCGCCTATGCCATCACCATTGGAATCATAGAAACTTTTTATATAAATTTGATAGATGACAGTGTTGTTCCACCATGACTTATTGAAAATCTCAGCTGATGAACTGCTGACCAGCAGCAAAAATGCGCATAAGCATGTTGTTACCGACATGATGCCGTTTTGTACTTGTTAAATTTGAAATTTGCTTATATATACTTTAATGACTAAGGAAATTAGTTACTTCCTTATCGATCATGCCTACTGAATACAATATCTTTCGTTCGAAAAAATCAAATAATTGACAGGTACAAAACTAGTTTATTGCAGCTGAATTTTTTATGATTATCAATCAATCACTGCAATTAATGACTAACGTTTTATTAAGATATTGTACAATTAATGACAAAGTCTATATAAATGACAAAAGTCTATATAAATGACAGAAGTCTATATAAATGACAGAATCTTTATCAATAACATTACCCATATAATACATAATATTACCATAATCCACTAATGTTTTGTGTATTGTTTTAGATCAGGAAATAATACAAGGATTTAAGCACGACTTGGAAATCTTATTTCACTATAATTATGTATAACGGTAACATACAATGGCAATGTATCATACATACATATTATTCAAAAAAGATAAATTGCATTATTTCTTGCAATTTACAAACTAAACAAATTATTACAGTACTTGATAGTAAAGGAAAGTATATAATAATACCTGATAATAACAAAAATGTAATATAATGTACATCATATATAACCATACAATATAGTAAAATATTAAAATAATTTTTTTCGACAACTTTAATTTCTCGATCTTACAATTATTTCAAAATTGCAACGTGACAAAGTATTTTGAAACCTAAAATTATATATAACATAGACTCTCCTATTAAAAATGTGCAGCTTATTTCAATTACTGTAATTCTTATCTAAAAGAAAGTTTATTTACAAAAAATAATTAATGTAGAAGACATACAAAAAAATAGATGCAATATATTTTAATTGAAAAACGAATTCTCCGTTAGAGAATTGTTTAAAACATCAATGAGAAATTTTTAATTGAATGATCTAACAAAATGATATTATATATTTTGTAGTAAATAAATTTGTATCTCTAAAAAAAATTTCATTTTCTACATCATAAATAAATGTCCCACAAGATTCGTTTTTTCTTCAACTTTTTTCACTTCAAATTTGTCTTTCGATTTTTTACTGTTTTTTACATAATACTTGTTCTGTGTAATTCTGTGTTGATTTGATATATTTTTCATTGTCTCTAAAAGCGACATTGCTGAAGCTCATACGAGATGACAAATTATCCAATGTCAGTATATTTTCTTCACATGCTCTAACAATAAGTGTTTATCTGTCATTTCTGTCCTGATACATGATATGGCTTTCAAACGCGATATTTTTAGAACGTTATCTAACAACAAGAAATTTCTACAAATTTATGAAAAAATACAATCCATCATACAATATGTATATTTTCTCGCCAGAGATCTAACGACAATATTGTAAGTGCATATTAAAGAAATTTATAATAAAAAATTTATACTTTAAATACATTTAAATCTATTTTTCTCTATATATATTATTCAATTTTCTGGCTATTCTTTGCCCAAAAGCCAAGTAAGTTTTAATATAACTCGGCATACAATTTTATAATCATCTCGAAGTGCTGCACATGCTTCTCCGAAGAAACTTGCTAGGACTGCTGTAAGAGTGCAATTTTGCCAATTCATGTTTCAAAAGCATGAGCATATACTTTTGAATCTTGAAAGTATAATTGTCAATTAATGTCAAATATGTTAAAGCATCAACAGCATTTGTTGTTAGATAACGTTCTAAATGGTAACATATCGCCTTTGAATATCATGTCATGTATCCGGACGGAAAAATAATAATAATAATATATATATATATATATATATATATATATATATATTATTATTATTTTTATTTTTTCATTTTTTTTATTATTATATTATTATTTTTATTTATTATTTATATTATTCATACAGGGTGCTTCTCAACATACAGATCGATAAGTCGGGTTGCCTATCTGACGATCGGTCTTCTTTTACATTATATAAAGAAGATCTTAAAAATAAAATTCGAAACGCGTGTGCGGAAATCACTCCTCCGATAATTCGGAGAATAAGGAAAAATTTTATGCGAAGGATTGCTTTATGTTTAGAAAAGAATGGCGGTTACATTGAGCATATGAGCAGTGTGAACATTAGAAAATAGTTTTTTGTTTAAATTCATTATATTTTATCTGTGTTATTATATTTCAATTGTGTCATTTTATGTTATTAATGTTATTTAAGTTATTTATGTTATTAAATATAATGTTATTTATGTTATTAAATATTACAATTACACTATATCAAAGTTAAAAGCTGATTTCACTTTCCTCATTCCCTACGGATTTGCATTCAAGGTATCAATCAAGGAATTTTTTCACTTTTCATTACATGATCGATCCTCTGATTTTATTATTTTTCAATTAATGCGGGGTCGGTAAAAGAAGACCGATCGTCAGATAGGCAACTCGACTTACCGATCTGTATGTTGCGGAAGCACCCTGTACATAAGAATAATAGAGATAAAATTTTTAAATACGCGACGATGTTTAATTAATAAATAGTTACCAATTATAAGTTTGCGGAAAAACTAACATAACTATCTTCATGATATTATTTTATTTTATATAATGCAACTTTTATAATATTACGACTTTTATTAGATTAGTTTTACAATACAGGTCGGCCAATTCCATAAGCTCTGTAACAACTTATTACGAACTCGGAAACTGAAACGGCTTTTTTAAAAAAGGCCTGTATTGTAAAACTAATCTTATAAAAGTCGTAATATTATAAAAGATGCATTATATAAAATAAAATAATATCATGAAGATAGTTATGTTAGTTTTTCCGCAAACTTATAATTGGTAACTATTTATTAATAATTTATTAACTCAAATTATTACGAACTCGGAAACTGAAACGGCTTTGAGTTCACAACTTCAATTATCTAATGCGTTCTCTAAAGGTAAATCAACTGTGCCAGTATAAAAGTATTTCAAAAAGGCTTTATAGATGATGTAAGAAAATTGATCATAATTTAACAAGGATATTTAAGGATATAAAACTTATGACCTAAGATAAGGAATTTCTAAATTTCATTACGATTACTTACACTTAGGCAACTTATTTGCCTGTTTACGCGAAAATTTTCTCTGTTGTCATCCGATTAAATCAATTACCTTAAATCAAAGATATGCGAATTAAGTAACAAATCCACATTTAAATGCGATAGACGACTGATCATTTCTGTGATTAATATAGAAAATTGACTGATAAAACTTTGTGAATTAGAATTTTAGAATTTTTTAAAATTGCGAGAACTTTTTCTGTCGCCATTCAATTAAATCAATTATTTTAAATAAAAATTACACGAACTAAATAACGCTGACAAAAACTAAAATAGATCTGTAATTCCTTCTATCATTAATTACTGCTTAATTACAATTACATATTGCATGTAATAAGTGTTAAATTTATTATTCAACGATTAAATCAGTCTTCATTATCCAGTCTAAATCAGTTTTTGAAAACACTACAATATATATGTATAATTAAAGAAATATACTAAATTCTTTGAGATAGAATAAAAATATTTTGCCACAAAAAAATTAGGATCATTTAGGATACAAAGCAAATGTCTCGTTGCCAGTTGTCAAACCCATTTATTTTATTTATAATCCAATTAGCGTTAAGCTAATTTGATTATAAATAAAATAAAAATGCATTTATTATAATACAATGATTATAATAAAATAATTATTACATATTATATATTCGCTTTTAGAGAAAACAATAGTGTCAAAAAAAATCTTATAATATTAAATCAATTTTTTATGATAGCATCAAATTTATTATTTAAGAATTGACTCAATTTTGTAAATATTCCAATTCATAAATAAAATTAGATAAAATCATATATCATATATGTATATTACGTAATATTATCTTAAACTATAAAATGGTAACTGAAACAAGAATTATTGAACATATATAGCTTCAATGATTCATGTATAGGAATAAAAAAACGATCTGCGATTTAGCTCGAAATTTATGTCAAAAGAATCATATTTCGAAAGTATTTCCTTTAGTTGCTCTGCGTATAAAATTATCCTTTGTACTCGTGTCTAACTTAATATACTCTTCCGATAATACTACAGCTTTCATATGACGCAGAGCAAACTGGAAGCAGAATTCCTCGAGTTCCTGTAAGTCATATACGATAATATATTGTATGATGATATACGATAATATATTGTATACACATAAATACATACATTACAATTAATAAATTCCGACAGTAATAGTAATTAAATCCAAACTGTGATACTTACCTTAGCATTGCATTCGATAGCTTTATTGTAGAAGAAAGCTACATTTGACACAGTAATGACTTTTTTTATTATCTGACTGCAATCTTTTATAAGATTGGTTTCACAATCGTACAATACGTATCGGCCAATTCCATAAGTTCTGTAAAAAAGTGTCGTTTCAGTTTCCGAATTGTAAGTATGTGATAATTTACATTTACAGTTTCAATTACTTAATGCATTCTCCGAAGGTAAATCGATTATGCCGGTATATAAATATTTCAAGAAGGCTTTATAAACGACGTAAGAAAATTTCTCTGATACCGTGTACACTGAATCCGATATGCTGTCAAAGAACAATGCTTGTCATTACGTAATCAAAGTTGAGAATTTCTGAATAAGAATACCAGTTTTTTTTCTAAGCTTACCTTTGAATATTTTCAGTCCAATCATGTTGAAACATATTTTTAAAATACTGACAACGAATCTTAAGGATAGTGAATATAAATAGGTTGTCCTTTGACTAATATTATAAGATCATTCGACAACTGAAGTGCAAATTATTAAATAATAATATTAGATTGTAAAAATTACCATAAGAATATGTAATTTTTCACTTGTAATGTTATAATTCAATATATGACTGGAGTGAGACTAAAAGTTTCAAAATAACCGTTAACACAATTGTAATTTATTTTTTCTAGTAGAAAAAAATTGCCCTAATTCTTTTTTATAAAATCTACAATTCCCTTATAAATCTCCATTCTTTATAACAACCAAATCAAAATGAAAATATGTATCACATAGTTTTATGCAAAATAAAAAAATGCATAAAGAATAATAATAAAACATATCGGATCGTCGAATATTGCTCTTAGAGACTTTAATATATTTAATACTTCTTTCACATACTTGAAATTATTCATAAACACAATCGATGAATTGTGCACACTACTCCACACACTATGCGCAAAATGGGCAAAACGCATCATGAATGTTCGAAACTTTGTGGGAAACGGTATAGTATTATGAAGATCGAAACAAAATTTACGTCACACATAGATAAGCTTGTCACAGCCAACGGCAACGCTCAAGTTACAATAAGCAGCGATATCCAAAACCTTTCCCATCTCGGGGATGTTTACCTGTCGATCATATCTTTCCTTATTATTTCGTTTCTTGTTTCACTCATCATGGCAATTATTAAAAAGCTTTTTATTAATAATTCATAAGTTACCACGATCGGTCCGGAAGGTTTCTGGTTGCTATTTACACCTTGTCGAAATAAGTTCGAACCCCAGGCATAGATTTCTCCTTTATTTGTGAACGCCAATGTATGCCCGTCTCCGCAGACCACCTTAACTGAAACATCAATATGTGAGATGAACGTGATACCAAAGAAAAACCAAATTACGCGCCCAGATTATTGTAGGGTACATGACCCTGGTACGCCATGGAAGGCGGGGGCGCTGGCAAGACAAGAGGGTAGTGTTGCGTCAGCGTGGCGTCAGTCGGCATATATACACGAGGGAGAGCGCGCGCGGGAAGAAGCGACCACGTGTGTCGAGGTAGCGTGGCGTCGGTCCGGCCGCACAGTTTTAAGTGTACCTCTATCAAATAAATAATGTTCTCATTAAGTCGAAGTACATGATTATTGCCGCTCGACAATCCTTACAAAAATCAGAAGCGGGATTAGGACGCTAGCACACGTAAGGAAACTTAAGAAACTCGAAGAAGTTGCGTCAGCCATCTTCCGTTATTGGTTGAGTCGCCGCGTGAGAGACACGTGCTATCGTTACATACTCAGAAAATCCGAAAAAACGGTCAACGAACGGAACGAAATCACAATGGATCCGAAGAAGTTTTCGATAACTCAACTAAAGGCCGAATTACGAAGACGAGACTTGCCGGTGCACGGACGCAAGGTAGATCTCATCGCGCGTCTGGATAAAGACGACACGAGTGGCACGTGGATGAATTCCGTTGCTTGCGCCGAGTGCCCAACGACCGCCTCAGATAAGGATCTATCGGACGAGGAAGTAGCATTGACCGCGAACGAAGAAGATGACGGTAACGAAGAAAGAACAATAGAAGGCCCAAGAGAGAACAGAAATCGTGACCGCCGAAATAGCGATGAATTAGAGCGCCGTTATCGCGACATGCAACTCGAATTTGAGCGTCGTGAAAACGAACTCCTGAGAAGAGAGTTAGAGATCGCTAGACGGGAGAACGAACAACTACGAAGAGCCACACCACCTGTAGCCGAGGGGGCACGCAGAACAGAGAACATCACCGCCATGTTGGAACTAGTGGGATTCTTCGACGGAAGTGCAGGTACGTTTAGAAAATGGGAGCAACAAGTCCGTCAATTGTGTGCAACCTATCGTCTCGATGATGACCGTGCTAAACTGCTCGTTAGCAACAAAATAAAAGGAAAAGCGAAGAGCTGGTTTCAGGCAGAAAACACGATTGCCATGACTCTTGATGAAATAATGGACGGCTTCCGGAAAATGTATGATCATCGTCCGTTACGTGTAGCCATGAGGAAGAAATTCGAGGCAAGAGAGTGGAAACCATCCGAGAATTTTGCAGATTATTTCCACGATAAAATAATCTTGGCAAAAGACGTTCCTATCGACGAAGAGGAAATGGTCGATTATTTAATTGATGGCATTCCGAGTGACCATCTACAAGACTTAGCACGAATGAAGGAGTTCCAGAAGAAGGAAGATATGTTACGAACCTTCGAGAAAGTATCCTTGCGAACACCTGTGAAAAACAATACGAAACGAGATTCACGACCGACGGGAAAGCACGACGTAAAATCAGCTGATTCACAAAAGGATAATGAGAAAAAAGGAGAAAATCAAGCGAAAAACGACGAAGGAAAACTGAAAAATCCTCGTTGTTATAACTGTAACAAACTAGGGCACATCGCTTCTGACTGTCGTCAACCTAAGCGCGAGAAGGGCTCGTGTTTCAAGTGTGGTGAGATGGGCCACATATCCAAGGACTGTCCAACGAAGACTACGTCATCAACGGAGGTTGCAGTTGTCAACGAGAAGGAAAATCCAGTCTACTCCATCTTCGGCTGCGAGGAGGACGAAGAGACATTTTTTAAAGACGTCGACTACGAAATAAACTGCACAAGTCTTCCCGATACAAATCATAAGATTAGATTAAACACGCTAATGGATTCAGGTAGTAAAGTCAGTTTTATAAAAGAGAGTTTCGCGTTGAAAGAAGCAGTAGAATCTTTCGGTACACACTCGGGAAATTATCATGGTATAAACTACTCACCGTTACGGATTATCGGGTATATACGGCTGAATATCACTATCGATAACGAAACAAAAAATAATATAACAACACTAGTTGTTCCGGATACGACTATGGTATACCCGGTAGTGTTAGGTCGCGACGTATTGAAGAAATTCGGTCTGGGTCTGAGGAAACTGGAAGTTCAAGTGATAGATGAGCTGTTGAACGTAGAAGTAGATAATCCGCGCGACACGGCATTAGATTCTCTTGGTATCAATCCCGAAATATCTCGTGAAGCACAGATTAGTTTGCGAGAACTCTTTAGGTCGGAATACGTTGAGCCCGCAAGGTCTATTAGTCCAAAAGTCGACATGGAGTTAAAATTAAGCCTGACGAATGAAACCCCATTCCACTTTAACCCACGTCGAGTCTCCGTTTCTGAAAAGGAAAAGTTGAGGAAAATATTAGACGATCTCCTGGAGAGGAAAATCATTCAGCCTAATAAATCCGAATATGTTTCCCCTATTATTCTAGTAAAGAAAAAGAATGATGAACTCCGACTTTGTGTGGATTATCGTGTGTTAAACAAAGTCCTGCGTCGCGATAATTATCCTCTTCCGTTAATAGAGGACCAAATTGACGTACTTAGAGATAAAAAGTATTTCAGTATTCTTGATCTGAAAGACGGGTTCTTTCATATTCGAATCGCGGATGAATCGATAAAATATACTGCATTTACGACACCGTACGGGATTTTCGAATATAGAAGAATGCCTTTCGGACTCAAAGTAGGACCGTCGAGATTTCAGAGATTTGTAAACGAAGCGTTAGTAGAATTGATTAGATCCGGAGACATTGTCGTATACATGGACGATGTATTGGTCGCAACCGTTACGTTAGAGCATCACTTTAAGGTCTTAAAGCAGTTGTTCAAGTGCTTAGTTGATAATCTGTTGGAGCTCCGACTCGATAAATGTCAGTTTTTATGCACAGAGATAGAGTTCTTAGGTTATCGTATCTCTAAAATCGGAATTCAGCCAAACAAGTCAGGGATTGAGACAATCGAGAAATATCCAATTCCACAAAATTTGAAAAGTCTGCAATGTTTCCTCGGGATGGCTTCGTATTTTCGAAAATTTATTGAAGGTTTCTCCGTTATCGCAAAACCACTTCATGAATTACTCCGTAAAAACGTGGAATTTAAGTTTGGGAAAGAACAACTAAAAGCGTTTCAGATACTTAAGCGAAAACTGCAGGAAGCACCTGTACTTAGTATATACAGTCCTCATGATGAGACGGAACTTCATACAGATGCTAGTTCGCACGGTTTTGGCGCCTCTCTTATGCAAAAGAAAACAGATATGAAGTTTCACCCGGTCTCGTATTTTTCAAAACGGGCGACCGATACTGAAAGCCGCTATCATAGTTTTGAATTAGAAACGCTCGCAGTTATCTATGCACTTCGCCGATTTCGCATCTACTTGCATGGCATTAAGTTTAAGATCGTTACGGATTGTGCGTCGTTGAAAATGACTTTAGATAAGAAGGATGTGTGTCCACGAATAGAAAGGTGGGCTGTCGAGCTTATGGAATATGATTATACTCTGGAACACAGAGCCGGCACCAAAATGCAACACGTAGACGCTCTCAGCCGCGCCACAAACATCCTGGTTATTGAGGATAACCCACTCGAGTTAGAACTAGCGTTAAGTCAAAATCGCGATCCCAAAATCCGAGAACTACGAGGGAAACTTGAGAAATCTCAAGATAGACAATACGAGATGCGAAATGGACTCGTATACCGAAAAAGAGATGGCGAGTTACGGTTCTATGTACCGGAAAAAATGGAAAGTCATGTATTGCGAAAGTATCATGACGAAATGGGACATTTCGGTCCAGAAAAAACGTGCGGCGCGATAGATAAGACCTATTGGTTTCCGCAAATGCGTATTAAGGTTAAGAATCATGTTCGAAATTGTTTAAAATGTATTGCGTTTACTCCATCTACAGGCAAGTCTGAAGGATTTCTGCATAGTATACCTAAAGGTAATGTACCGTTTCAGACATTTCACATCGACCATATGGGACCTATAGATCGAAGACACTTGATCAAACAACACATTTTAGTGATCGTCGATGCATTCACGAAGTACATTAAATTGTATGCTACTAAGACTACAACTTCAAGGGAATCCATCGATTGTCTAAGGCAGCATTTCGCTAACTATAGCCGCCCTCATACTATAGTGAGCGATAGAGGGACTTGTTTCACCTCAAATGAGTTTGAAGAATTTCTCAAGGAAAATAACATTCGACACGTGTTGATAGCTACGGGATCTCCTAAAGCGAATGGGCAGGTAGAACGAATTAACCGTGTGTTAGGCCCGCTCCTTGCCAAAGTAGTTGATAATAATGCCGGAAAGTATTGGTATAAGGCGCTAGCGGAAGCAGAATTCGCGATCAACAACACGATAAATAAATCCACGGGAGATACACCAAGTCGTTTATTGTTTGGAGTCGACCAGCGAGGCCCGAGCATTGATGGAATCAAGGAGTACTTAGAGGAAAAGGCTACACCAGAAACCCGTGATCTCGAAGTGATACGCGAAAGGGCCGCTAAGAATATTTCAAAGAATCAAGAATACAATCAGCGTTACTTTGACAAGAGTAGAAAAGAGCCACGTCAGTACAAGGAAGGTGATTACGTGGGGATCCGAAATTTTGATAATACTCCGGGGGCGCCGAAGAAACTCATCCCCGAGTTCAAAGGACCTTATGAGGTATATAAGATTCTCAGAAATGATAGATACATAATTAGAGATGTAGAGAATTACCAAACATCACGTCGCCCTTACGAAGGAACATGGGAAGCTTGCAACATTAGACCCTGGCGTGACGAAATCGCCTGACTATACCTAAAACACTTATCAGAGACCAAAGATTAGTTGATAAGCAGTAGTTAAGATTGTTTTGTACTTATTCATTATACTCTATTATCTTGTTTGTACTACCGTGTCCGAGGCCGGACAAATGATCAGGAAAGGCCGAATTGTGAGATGAACGTGATACCAAAGAAAAACCAAATTACGCGCCCAGATTATTGTAGGGTACATGACCCTGGTACGCCATGGAAGGCGGGGGCGCTGGCAAGACAAGAGGGTAGTGTTGCGTCAGCGTGGCGTCAGTCGGCATATATACACGAGGGAGAGCGCGCGCGGGAAGAAGCGACCACGTGTGTCGAGGTAGCGTGGCGTCGGTCCGGCCGCACAGTTTTAAGTGTACCTCTATCAAATAAATAATGTTCTCATTAAGTCGAAGTACATGATTATTGCCGCTCGACAATCCTTACAAATATCTCATGAAGATGTTCGATACTATAACATTCTTAGAGATGAAATATCAGACATAAATTTGAAAAATATTTACCTATTTTATCCGAGATTCTGATAATTTCGCGTGGGTATTTATAATATTTTGCACGGTCGAATATAATCTGGATGCTCTTGTTATCGCGCCAACCATATAGTTTACTTTCGTCAGTTACAACTATGTTAAAATTTGAATCACACGCGATACGGACAACTTTCCTTTTCTCCAATTCATGTTTCACCTGCCACGGTACACTAAAATTAGTTATGTTTTCGTTAACAACCTGACTATCATTTTCTTTCCAATCACTTTCTTCCGAATCATTTTCTTCCCAATTCTTTTTTCCCCAAGCATACACTTAAATAACAAACAATTGTTTACTTTATGAAAATGATTATTATCGTTATCATTGTGATAGCATAATCTTTTATTTACCTTTCCATCGCTAGTCAGAGCGAGACCACGACGCTGTCCGTATACGATGTCTACGATACGCTTGTCGCTTAAGCTGGCGACTCGAATAAACGTGGATACAAAATTACATTACGTCAAAAATTACATTACTGAAATACGAATACTTCGCGATTTTGCAGAAATAAATCTTTTAAAAATAACATAGATGTAATACATTTTTTGATCTGAATTACATTTGGAATATTTAAGTGTGAAGACACTACTTGAAAAGACTTGAGAAAAAATTCAGTTTGATATTATTCCATCCTAAGTAATTTTCATGATAAATTTATATACCATTTTTAGCCTTGTTGATATGTGTAAAAGAATTGAAAGTTTTCTCACATTTTTAAAATGTTACGTAACTAAGTGTGACAGTGTTGTTCCATCATGATTTATTGAAAATCTCGGCTAATGAATTGTCAGCTAATTGTCACTAAGCGACATGATGCCGTTTGTACTTTACGAATTTAAAAATTACTTATATGTACATTAATAGCTAAAAAAATCAGTTACTTTCTTATGAGTTGTTAATGTATGTTACAATATCTTTACGTTCGAAAAAATCAAATAATTGACAGGCACAAAATAAATGGTTTAATTACTATAACAATGTGAACGTTTTCATAGTCATCAATCAAGCACTGCGATAAATGACTTTTGTTAAAATATCGCGGAATTAGTCACAAAGTCTATATAAATGGCAGAATCTTTATCAATAATATTATGCATACACACAATACAGAACATTGCCATAATCAACTAATATTCTGTTCTATATTGTTTTAGACTAGATCAGGAAATGATACAAGGATTGCATTTAAGCGCGACTTGGAAATTTTATTTCACTATAATTATCGCGGTACGATAACACACTTGGCAATGTATCTCATACGTAGTATTTAAAAAAGCTAAATACATTATTTTCTGCAATTAGTTAAGTAAATTATTTATACCTGATAGTAGAAAAAGTACTTAATAATACCTGATAGAATGCGAAAACTGTAATAACTATGAAATTTTTATAAAAAATTAAAATACGAAACACGAATTATTTATCTTCGTATGTTATTTATTATTTAATAAATTACTTACTTATTATTTAATAAATTACTATAAATTTATGAAAAAAATCTCAAATTTAAAAAAGAAATATTGAAATATGAAAATTTTACATTAATCTGCAATCTTTTGTGTATTGCTTTAGATTAAACTCGGAAATAACACAAGGATTACATTTAAGTATTATTCATAAATCTTATATTTTTTAAATTATATAATATATAGTGATAATATATCGATAATATAATAGCAATATAATATATGTAACGATGCCATAAACGATGTCCAAAAAAGATCACATTATTTTCTACAATTAATAATCTAAATAATTTGTGTGCACATAATAATACCTGATAGTAAAAAAATATAATTATTACATAGTTAACATAACTTTACAATATAATAAAATATGTTAATATAATTTTTTTCAACAACTTTAACTTTACAATCAGAATCTCTTACAATTCTTTTAAAATTACGACATAATAAAATACTATAATAGCTAAAAATACATTATAGAAAAGTGGAGAATTATTCTTTTCCCAAAAAAGAAATATATTTTTAAACTGTATAATAGATTAAGAATTCTTAAATTTAATGTATAAAATATAAAGAATGCATTCTGATTGTAAATACATATAAAATGAAACATAATATTTATAATTAATACAAAATTAATATATAAATATGTTTATTAATATATAAATATATAAATATGTTACCAAATGCGCATCCTTTTATTTAACATCTGTTCATATATTAAAGAATTGTTTATTCTCTTCATGTATACGTATAAGTAAATCATTAACAAATGATATGAATATATATTTGATGCTATAATTGAATCCATACATACCAACTGGTCAACACGTTAATTTATTATTATATATATTATTATATATATTATATATTATTTATTATTATATATTTTACATTTATTTTGATATACAAAACATAAAAATAGTATAAAAAGTTATAATTGTTTCAATATAAATTTTCATAAAATATTTTAAATATTACGATCTACCTTACTTCTTTTTTGAAGCAAGAACGAGAGCAGCTTTAGCAGGCAAGTTTATTTCTTTTGTGTTCACCGTCGTTCTGAAATATATGTATCAATAATCAATACAAAATTCTTAAATATGTTTAAAATACGTTTAAAATACTTAAATATGTTTAAAATACTTTTTTTTTATTTGTTAAAAGTTTGCTTTTTTATATGGAATTAATAAAATATTGGATTAATATAATATTCATACACACTCTCTAAAAATGAATCAGTATATTATCACTGAAAACAGTAAACAGAGTCACTGATATAGCAGTTATAAGTTATTATAGCACTGTAAATCAATAATATTTCACTGAAAGAATTAGTAATATTGACTGCTTTAATCAGTAATATTAATTTATTTATTTCGTATAAAATTAAAAATTTTATTTATATTTATATGCATATTAGAACATGAATGTTAAATAAATGATGATTTATTTTACATCTTTAATATGTAATGAATAGATTCATCATTTTCGTTTATTCGCCGGACATTTATTTATCCGACTTATAAAATCGATTTAATATCTAAAGTTCCTCTATTGTCAATTACAGTCAATATTACTAATTCTTTTAGTGAAATATTATTGATTTACAGTGCTATAATAACTTATAACTGCTGTATCAGTGACTCTGTTTACTGTTTTCAATGATAATACATTGATTCATTTTTAGAGAGTGTGTATGAATGTATTATTTTATTAATTTTATTAAATTATTAATTATAAATTTATTAATTCCATTAAACAATTCCAAAAAACAAACATTTGACGAATAAAAGAAAAAAACGTATTTTAAACATTTTTTTAAACGGAGTTTTTATCAGAAGAGAAACGTATCACTTAACATTCTTCAAGTGGACATTTTATTCGATAAGAAACGTTTTCAAGAGTCGGTTATGAAACGTTTTAAAAAAACATTTGTGACACGTTTTTGAAACGAATATATGCTACCTAGGACGCTACTAGGTAACGTCACGATTGTGTAGGTAAAAACTGTTAATAAGTTAGAAAAAAATATTTATGCACTTGACGTCGCGACAATGATATAGTATATATATATATATATATATATATATATATATATATATATTATTTGTACTAATATTTACATAATATAAATTATTTTAATTTATATTACTCTCGTTTATCTCTTTAAAACATTTAAAGTTACTTTTAAACATTTAAGTAATTAATAAAAAATAAAAAGAATTAAAATAATAATAAATAATTATGTAAACCCTTTTATATGAAACTATTCATATTGTTATTGAAACTAATGTAAAACAAAAAATTACTATTTATGTAAATCAAGTAATTAAGTAATGATAAAATATTATTAAAATAATATTATTTAAATGTAATATATATTAAAATATATAATAAAATAATAATAAAATACAACCTAACAATATAATATTTAAATATTAATAAAATGTTATTTTATATATATTTACCCTTTTTTAATTGGAGAACCGATAGTGACAACTTCAACAACAAGTTCGTTTGCAAGTCCTTGGCTCGTTAAATCGACTATTTGGGCGATTTTGTCATTGAAATTGATAAGAAGTACTATGCATTGCTCATTATACTGCCGAATTACAATCAAGACTTGGTCATTACTCTGTACCAACGTCGTAAGATTTCCCTGTTGTAGCGCTGCTTCGCGTTGACGCATCTTAATTAAAGAAGTATAGATCTTGTAATGTGACTCGTTGGCGATTTTTTGCTTTGCTAAATTCAATTCGATATAGTTTTCATGTACAGGAAGCCATGTGTGATTAGCTTTACTGAAACCTTCAAAATAAATAAAAAATAAACATTTAGATCACCATTTTTTTTTTATGTTTAAATTATTCATCTGAATATTTTATTTTCTAATTTAAAAAAATGAAAATAGCTGATTAATATGCTTTCAATCATTTTTGTCTATAATAATTCTTTCAACTAATATTCTAAAAAATTATTTATATAAATAATTTACCAGCATTCTTTGTGGCATCCCACTGAAATGGCGTGCGATTGCGGTCGCGCGATAGATTCTGATATTTATCCTTCCCAGCATTACAAGCTTGAGGATCCTGTGTGTCCTCCCAAGATATATCCCGTTTATCAAGCATGCCGATTTCTTCGCCATTGTAAGTAACTGCGATACCAGGTAAGATCATCTCTAACATTATCATTTGATCTCCTCTTCCAGGATAACGAGATGCAGTTCTACTTTTATCATGATTTCCCATCTATAAAATTATCATATTATTATATAATTTTTATTATATTAGAATTTCCAAAAATATTATTTTAAAAACTATAGGAACTATAGAACTATATAAAATATCTTTTTAATATCTTTGTATTTTTATTTATTATGCAATTTATAGTATTATACAAAACAGTCACATTTTTATTAATTCATTTAAATATTGAATTGCAATCATTAATTTATATCTTATCTTAAAAATAAATGCATATGTGAATTTTACTTACCACCCAATTTGGACTCTCATCATTCGGCGTTTGAGACATCCAGTCATCGATAATGCGTTTAAAATCCGCAGCTTTAGAAACATTATTCACATCAGAAATAAATTTGAAGTTAAAAGGCACATGTGAGCCAAATTTATAATACTTCGTAGTATTCTCCAAACTCGTATAAGCTTCAGTCATTATCACCTAAATCAAAATATCTATTCATTTATAAACATCTATTAATTAATCTTCTATTAATCATCTATTAATTAATATTCATAAAATATCGAATAATCAGTATATAAGGAATTTAATGAAATAGAAATCTATATATAATGAATACGATGAAAATATAAAAATTTGTTTGGGTCTCGTGAATTTATATGTGTTTTTTCACCTCAAGAAAGCTAATGTTTTTTTTTACTTATCATATATGTATATGTATATTGTTACGCCCGCGGCGAGGACTTCGATAAATATCGAAGTCGCGCATGAAAAGATCGGCCGCTCGCGAGTCGCGCGAAATAAAGAGACACTTTTAAAAGTAACTAAGAGCTTTAATGCACAACACAGGGCAACACAAACGATAACACAAAATGATTCAACACAAAATTAACGGCTCGACGCAAATTCGCGTCCGCGCAGCCAGACAGCTGGAACCGAACTCAGCTGACAGTCGTTGTTTGTAAATAATCTTCTTGCAGACGGGATCCGGACAACGGCAGGGCCGTGACGACTCGGGCGCGCGCGTAACAATATAATAATTATATCGCAACTTATCTAATTTTTATATAATATAGTAATACATAAAACAAAGCAAATTAAAGAAATGCACTCGCTTTTTCATCCTCGTTATGATAATCCGCGTAATCGTCCAAAACTTTTCGCCAACTTGCTACCAGATCGTACGTGCGTGGATCGTCTTTAGTGTAAATATGCTCTAAATACGAATAATCACGTTCAGTAGCTCCTGGCGCGTAACTTCTGGATTCATTCGGAAAATTTGCATCTTCGAACAAATGCGGAATAGCATCCACACGGAATCCGTCGATGCCTTTTCGTAGCCAGAATCTAATCACATCCTATAAATTGTTAATGCTTAATTGAAAATGTTAAATAGTTAAACGAAATTTCTAGAATTATTTCGGTGATGTAGCATGTATATATATATATATATATATATATATATATATATATATATATATATATACAGGGTGACCCATTTTAACTTAGGCGGCCAAATAACTCGAAAAATAAGCACACTACAAAAAAATGGTTAGAATCAAAATTTCGTCATTTCGAGGGGGACGTACAATGACGTTAAAATCAGCCCCCCCACTCCTCCCCCTGGGCGGTGAGGGGGGCAAGTTTGAAATCTTAAATGGAACCCCCTATTTTTCATTGCATATTCTTGTAGCTTATCTCGAGAGCTTTCCAAGACACTATAATTAAGTACCTTTTTATTAAGTACTTTTTGAGTTATAAGGCTTGAAATCATTTCTTAATTTTACATAAACCATAAAATATCTAGTAAACCATTCAATTTTCGATTATCTTACCTTCATACTTTTATGTACAAAATAATGAGAGGAATCAATTGGTGTAAAGAAAACATACAGTTGTTTTTAAGAAAAAATATGGAATTGTTAATTGCAAATTACATATTTTTTCTTAGAAACAACTATGTGTTTTCTTTACACCAATTGATTCCTCTCATTATTTTGTACATAAAAGTATGAAGGTAAGATAATCGAAAATTGAATGGTTTACTAGATATTTTATGGTTTATGTAAAATTAAGAAATGATTTCAAGCCTTATAACTCAAAAAGTACTTAATAAAAAGGTACTTAATTATAGTGTCTTGGAAAGCTCTCGAGATAAGCTACAAGAATATGCAATGAAAAATAGGGGGTTCCATTTAAGATTTCAAACTTGCCCCCCCTCACCGCCCAGGGGGAGGGTGGGGGGGCTGATTTTAACGTCATTGTACGTCCCCCTCGAAATGACGAAATTTTGATTGTAACCATTTTTTCGTAGTGTGCTTATTTTTCGAGTTATTTGGCCGCCTAAGTTAAAATGGGTCACCCTGTATATATATATATATATTATTATTATTATTAATATATGTATATTTATATTTTTCTATATTTATTTGTATAATACTTATGTTGCATTCATTTGACTTTTTAAAATTAAATTGTAATTTAAGTGCTTTTATATTTTAATTTATCATTTATTTTTTTTTTTTGGTGCGCAAGTAATATTACGTAATATAATAAACGAAATATTCGTACTAATTAAATTCATTTCAATGTTTAAATTCATACTAATAATTTCCTTATTTACAAATAATTTTTGATTCATTAAAATATATTTTATTTTATTCTTTTTTAAAAAACTATTACTTTTGTAATAAATTATAAATTGAATTAATTTATATAACCGTTAAATTATTTAATTATTTATTTATTGTTATTATTATTATTATTATCATTATTATTATTTTCATTATTATTATTATCATCATCATTATTACTATTATCATTATTATTATTATTATCATTATTATTATTATTATTATTATTATTATCATTATTATTATTATTAAAATTATTATTATGTGTAAATTCTTTTAGTATAACAAGTAATGTTATTATATACTTATATAGACACGATAAAAAAGATTTTGTATTTCTTTTAAAATTTTCTCTTGTAAAAATTTTTGTATTAAATTTTAACATACTCTTATATTAATGTAACATATTATCGTTGCGTTATTTTGACATTTCTGCATTGAGTTAATATTCATCGTTTTTAAGAGTTAAACAACAACACAATTAATATGTAAATGCACGAATTTTTTGATGAAATATGTTATATGTTAAAAATGAACAGATAAGTTATGTTATTTTTTTCTCTATAACAGTTTTCATATGTTAGATCGAGATATCTCTTCTGTTATTTATCATAAAAATGTAAGAATAACATTTTTTTAAATTAAATTTAACATTATAAATATGTTAATTTAACATATTTATTTCCAGATAAAGTTTAAGTGTTACACTTTTGTGTTAATTTTTAAACATATTACTTGTGTTATTTATTTACATACTTGCCTTCTGTTAAATTAACATTAAAATTAGAATGGATAAATTAGGACATGTGAAATATGTTAAATTTAACACAAAATTTTTTACTGTGTATTACTTACTTCCATTTCATCTCGCACCTCGGGGTTACTATAATTCAGATCAGGTTGCCTATATTCAAATTGATGAAAATACCATTGATTACGATTCGTATCAAAGCTCCAAGCAGGGCCGCTAAATATAAATCGCTGATCCAATTATTGGGCGGTGATTGATTATTATTATTGCCGGTTTTCCATATATAATAATCTTTGTATTTGCCTTCTCCAATAAGACTCTTTCTAAACCACTCATGCTTATCAGAAGTATGATTTGGAACTAGATCCAAAATCACCTACCAGAAAGAATATTTCGATTTTCGATTTATTGAGAAAGAGAAAAATAAAAAAAAGAAACAAAGCAAATCAATTTCACATGTTTATCCTTTATACCGAGTTTTTTCGCTTGAGCAATTAACTTCTCTATATCTCCTATTGTACCAAAAGTCGGATCGATATCTTTGAAATCGGAAATATCATATCCGGAATCAATCATCGGACTTGTGTAAATCGGCGATAGCCAAATGCCAGTGATTCCGGAGTCTACGAAATGCTGTAGTTTCGATAATATTACTGTACTCAGAATATATAAATAAGAACAAATAAATATTCTTTCTTTAATTATATTCTATAATTTTCTATAATTTATATGTCGATATAAATTATTCTTATCGACTTTATACTATTTTATTTATTTGATGGCTATAAGAAATTAAAAAAGAAAGGCTTCGGGCCGTAGGGTGGTGGTACCAAATAACCATAAAAAGTTAAAACTGTAAAGACAGACCACTAAGGTTGAAAAGTAAAGCTTTTTATTGCTTTTTATTCAATTTTTGCATTTTCTACTATGTGTATTTCCGATCGTTTCTTTATGCGTTTAAATTTGTAACCGTTATTAAGATCCTCATGACCTCCTTTGTTTCATGCTTAGCGTTTATTTTTATAATTTTGTATGACATTGAAAAGGATCTGTAGAAGATCGAAACGTGCGTTGTCTCTTAGAATGTATTTAATAATTTTGTGCTCTGACAGATTTTCCTATTAAATTTACTTTTCAACCTTAGTGGTCTGTCTTTACAGTTTTAACTTTTTATAGTTATTTCGTACAACCACCCTACGTCACGGCCCGAATCCTTTCTTTTTAAAATTTTGTATTATTATTAATAACGGACCGTTAACACCTCTAATTTTTTAGTTTTTATAAGAAATTAATGTTATATGATTTTTCTTTCACCGTTTAAATCACCTACACCATCGTTATTCGAATCCATGAAACTTCGCGGATAAACCTGATAGAATACTGCATTTTTCCACCATCCTTTATTATATATTTTAGCAAATGTTTTACTGCAAGAAGCAAAAATAACGATCAGACNAAAAAATGCATAAAGAATAATAATAAAAACATATCGGATCGTCGAATATTGCCTCTTAGAGACTTTAATATATTTTAATACTTCTTTCACACATACTTGAAATTATTCATAAACACAATCGATGAATTGTGCACACTACTCCACACACTATGCGCAAAAATGGGCAAAAACGCATCATGAATGTTCGAAACTTTGTGGGAAACGGTATAGTATTATGAAGATCGAAACAAAATTTACGTCACACATAGATAAGCTTGTCACAGCCAACGGCAACGCTCAAGTTACAATAAGCAGCGATATCCAAAACCTTTCCCATCTCGGGGATGTTTACCTGTCGATCATATCTTTCCTTATTATTTCGTTTCTTGTTTCACTCATCATGGCAATTATTAAAAAGCTTTTTATTAATAATTCATAAGTTACCACGATCGGTCCGGAAGGTTTCTGGTTGCTATTTACACCTTGTCGAAATAAGTTCGAGCCCCAGCATAGATTTCTCCTTTATTTGTGAACGCCAATGTATGCCCGTCTCCGCAGACCACCTTAACTGAAACATCAATAATGTGAGATGAACGTGATACCAAAGAAAAACCAAATTACGCGCCCAGATTATTGTAGGGTACATGACCCTGGTACGCCATGGAAGGCGGGGCGCTGGCAAGACAAGAGGGTAGTGTTGCGTCAGCGTGGCGTCAGTCGGCATATATACACGAGGGAGAGCGCGCGCGGGAAGAAGCGACCACGTGTGTCGAGGTAGCGTGGCGTCGGTCCGGCCGCACAGTTTTAAGTGTACCTCTATCAAATAAATAATGTTCTCATTAAGTCGAAGTACATGATTATTGCCGCTCGACAATCCTTACAAAAATCAGAAGCGGGATTAGGACGCTAGCACACGTAAGGAAACTTAAGAAACTCGAAGAAGTTGCGTCAGCCATCTTCCGTTATTGGTTGAGTCGCCGCGTGAGAGACACGTGCTATCGTTACATACTCAGAAAATCCGAAAAAAACGGTCAACGAACGGAACGAAATCACAATGGATCCGAAGAAGTTTTCGATAACTCAACTAAGGCCGAATTACGAAGACGAGACTTGCCGGTGCACGGACGCAAGGTAGATCTCATCGCGCGTCTGGATAAAGACGACACGAGTGGCACGTGGATGAATTCCGTTGCTTGCGCCGAGTGCCCAACGACCGCCTCAGATAAGGATCTATCGGACGAGGAAGTAGCATTGACCGCGAACGAAGAAGATGACGGTAACGAAGAAAGAACAATAGAAGGCCCAAGAGAGAACAGAAATCGTGACCGCCGAAATAGCGATGAATTAGAGCGCCGTTATCGCGACATGCAACTCGAATTTGAGCGTCGTGAAAACGAACTCCTGAGAAGAGAGTTAGAGATCGCTAGACGGGAGAACGAACAACTACGAAGAGCCACACCACCTGTAGCCGAGGGGGCACGCAGAACAGAGAACATCACCGCCATGTTGGAACTAGTGGGATTCTTCGACGGAAGTGCAGGTACGTTTAGAAAATGGGAGCAACAAGTCCGTCAATTGTGTGCAACCTATCGTCTCGATGATGACCGTGCTAAACTGCTCGTTAGCAACAAAATAAAAGGAAAAGCGAAGAGCTGGTTTCAGGCAGAAAACACGATTGCCATGACTCTTGATGAAATAATGGACGGCTTCCGGAAAATGTATGATCATCGTCCGTTACGTGTAGCCATGAGGAAGAAATTCGAGGCAAGAGAGTGGAAACCATCCGAGAATTTTGCAGATTATTTCCACGATAAAATAATCTTGGCAAAAGACGTTCCTATCGACGAAGAGGAAATGGTCGATTATTTAATTGATGGCATTCCGAGTGACCATCTACAAGACTTAGCACGAATGAAGGAGTTCCAGAAGAAGGAAGATATGTTACGAACCTTCGAGAAAGTATCCTTGCGAACACCTGTGAAAAACAATACGAAACGAGATTCACGACCGACGGGAAAGCACGACGTAAATCAGCTGATTCACAAAAGGATAATGGAGAAAAAAGGAGAAAATCAAGCGAAAAACGACGAAGGAAAACTGAAAAATCCTCGTTGTTATAACTGTAACAAACTAGGGCACATCGCTTCTGACTGTCGTCAACCTAAGCGCGAGAAGGGCTCGTGTTTCAAGTGTGGTGAGATGGGCCACATATCCAAGGACTGTCCAACGAAGACTACGTCATCAACGGAGGTTGCAGTTGTCAACGAGAAGGAAAATCCAGTCTACTCCATCTTCGGCTGCGAGGAGGACGAAGAGACATTTTTTAAAGACGTCGACTACGAAATAAACTGCACAAGTCTTCCCGATACAAATCATAAGATTAGATTAAACACGCTAATGGATTCAGGTAGTAAAGTCAGTTTTATAAAGAGAGTTTCGCGTTGAAAGAAGCAGTAGAATCTTTCGGTACACACTCGGGAAATTATCATGGTATAAACTACTCACCGTTACGGATTATCGGGTATATACGGCTGAATATCACTATCGATAACGAAACAAAAAATAATATAACAACACTAGTTGTTCCGGATACGACTATGGTATACCCGGTAGTGTTAGGTCGCGACGTATTGAAGAAATTCGGTCTGGGTCTGAGGAAACTGGAAGTTCAAGTGATAGATGAGCTGTTGAACGTAGAAGTAGATAATCCGCGCGACACGGCATTAGATTCTCTTGGTATCAATCCCGAAATATCTCGTGAAGCACAGATTAGTTTGCGAGAACTCTTTAGGTCGGAATACGTTGAGCCCGCAAGGTCTATTAGTCCAAAAGTCGACATGGAGTTAAAATTAAGCCTGACGAATGAAACCCCATTCACTTTAACCCACGTCGAGTCTCCGTTTCTGAAAAGGAAAAGTTGAGGAAAATATTAGACGATCTCCTGGAGAGGAAAATCATTCAGCCTAGTAAATCCGAATATGTTTCCCCTATTATTCTAGTAAAGAAAAAGAATGATGAACTCCGACTTTGTGTGGATTATCGTGTGTTAAACAAAGTCCTGCGTCGCGATAATTATCCTCTTCCGTTAATAGAGGACCAAATTGACGTACTTAGAGATAAAAAGTATTTCAGTATTCTTGATCTGAAAGACGGGTTCTTTCATATTCGAATCGCGGATGAATCGATAAAATATACTGCATTTACGACACCGTACGGGATTTTCGAATATAGAAGAATGCCTTTCGGACTCAAAGTAGGACCGTCGAGATTTCAGAGATTTGTAAACGAAGCGTTAGTAGAATTGATTAGATCCGGAGACATTGTCGTATACATGGACGATGTATTGGTCGCAACCGTTACGTTAGAGCATCACTTTAAGGTCTTAAAGCAGTTGTTCAAGTGCTTAGTTGATAATCTGTTGGAGCTCCGACTCGATAAATGTCAGTTTTTATGCACAGAGATAGAGTTCTTAGGTTATCGTATCTCTAAAATCGGAATTCAGCCAAACAAGTCAGGGATTGAGACAATCGAGAAATATCCAATTCCACAAAATTTGAAAAGTCTGCAATGTTTCCTCGGGATGGCTTCGTATTTTCGAAAATTTATTGAAGGTTTCTCCGTTATCGCAAAACCACTTCATGAATTACTCCGTAAAAACGTGGAATTTAAGTTTGGGAAAGAACAACTAAAAGCGTTTCAGATACTTAAGCGAAAACTGCAGGAAGCACCTGTACTTAGTATATACAGTCCTCATGATGAGACGGAACTTCATACAGATGCTAGTTCGCACGGTTTTGGCGCCTCTCTTATGCAAAAGAAAACAGATATGAAGTTTCACCCGGTCTCGTATTTTTCAAAACGGGCGACCGATACTGAAAGCCGCTATCATAGTTTTGAATTAGAAACGCTCGCAGTTATCTATGCACTTCGCCGATTTCGCATCTACTTGCATGGCATTAAGTTTAAGATCGTTACGGATTGTGCGTCGTTGAAAATGACTTTAGATAAGAAGGATGTGTGTCCACGAATAGAAAGGTGGGCTGTCGAGCTTATGGAATATGATTATACTCTGGAACACAGAGCCGGCACCAAAATGCAACACGTAGACGCTCTCAGCCGCGCCACAAACATCCTGGTTATT